CCCCAAAACCCCAAAACCCCAAAACCCCAAAACCCCAGTTCATAACTTTAAATATGAAAGCTATTTTATTCGATAACATTTTAAAAATAAAATAACTCTGATTGAAGGTCACCATCTCATAGGTGAAATCATCAACCCCCTACCAAGAAAATCATGAAAATCTTTTTAAACCTGAAATTATCCCTTTCTAAGCCTTCCTTGAGAGATAAGTGTAACTTCTAGCGTACGCTTTTAAGGAATCTGCTCTTTCAGGAGTATGCCCTGGGTTTTTAGAGGAAGGAGGATTGGGAGTTAAGGGAGATGTGGAGGAGACTAGAGATTGGGCCGTATTGGAGCTATAGGCTTTGGAATACCTAGATTTTGAGGCCGGGAAGTTTAGTTTGGGGTGTGGGGAAATCTGACATTTAGGCGTATGGCCTTTGTGAGGAGTGGGGTTTTTGGTCGGAGTGGAGCTTGATGGCTTGGAAGGGGGAGTTGAGAATTTGCAGTGTCTTAAGTTGGCCCTAGGAGCTTTGTTGGGTGTCACCCTAGATCTTGAGACCGATTTCCGTTCACAAGACGACTTCTGGCTTTGCTTTCTGTGGATACTTTTCGACAGAGGCTTGATGACCTTATCTTTCTTTGCCTTCTCAAGGATTAATAAGTTCCCTGTAAGTTACTGGTGTAAATTTACTGATGTTGGAACCTGAAGCTTTGGATTTCTGAGGAGTTGCTCTTTCTGAGCTTCCAAATGGGATATTAACATTCTTGTCTCTTTTTGGAGGTTTTAGGTATAGTGTGGTCTTCTTTGATCCAAATGTAGCTATTAGGAAAGGTAAAAATAAGAATAGAAGCAATCTTACATTTTGCAGAAGGTGTCTTAGTACTAGATTCTAGAAAATGTTATGTCAGCCACTTACTTTTTCTATTCCCCGAGCTTTCCCTTTTAGCCGACCCTGGGCGAGACACAGAGTAAGAAGACTCTGAAGCCTGCTTATAAGTCGACCTCCTCTTTAAAGCTGATGCTCATGAGTCTCTAAATTTGGATTTTTGGGGTATTTTTGAAGATTTCTTCTTGAGACTAATAATGCTCGTTTTCTTCTGCGTAAATGTAGCTCTTTTATCATCTTCCGTCGTATAGCTACAACTATCACACATCCGGACTTACTTATTTAAGTCCTTGACTCCTGGGGTCTCTCTGGACTCTTCTATTTTTATCCTTCAAAAGATTCTTCACAAGTTGTGGTGACTTTTTAGTCTTTGATAATTTAGTTATCTTTCTCTTTGTCTCTTTGGGCTATTTGAGGGGTAAAGAAATGTGAAATTGTTAGGCACTTACCATTTTGTTCAGTCTTTGGGCGTCTCCAGTTACACTTTGGGCTCTAGAGGTTAGAAGAAAAAGATCACTTTTTATCTCCTAATTTTATCACTGAGTTACTCTTGGTGGAGGACTCCCAGTAATTTTCATCGCTAGCTTCAGAGTAAACCTCTGGAATATTGTCCAAACTTTTAAATGGCTTCTCAAATTTGACTAGAGAAGATCCCCTCTGCTTCTTCTTGTAGACTATTGATAGAGTTATACACGGTGGATTGGGTTATAATAAATTTAGTTATTCACCATTTTGGAAAAGTTTAACTCGGAAAATCTTACCATGCGTCTTTCCATCAAATTCGGAGATGTTCCTCTTCCTAGAAGGCTTCTTGCCTCTCTTGTCAAGCTTGAGCAGAGAGCGAGGGCAGATCGGGGCATTCGTGCTTCTATTCATGTTTTATAGCTAATTATTTTTGATATAATGAATTGGAGACGTGGGGTTTTGGGGTTTTGGGGTTTTGGGGTTTTGGGG